AAATTTGCCTCCACTTTTGTGGATTGGGGTGATCAGTCCTTGGTTCCAAATATTGGGGAATATGCCAGAGTTGAGGATGATGTTAAAGAGTTGCCAACTGGAATTTGTGGTCTGTATAGTTTATCATTTCATTTAGGATACCATCAACCCCACGTGCCTTTTTGGGTTGGACAGTTTAATTCGTCTTGTAGTTCATTCAGTGTAATTGGAGAATCCAGTGGGTTCTGGTAGTCTTTAATAGTTGATTTTAAGATTTGTAATTTATCATGTATATGTTTTGCTGTTTGCTCTTTGTTATATGGCCAAAAAGATTGGAGAAGTGCTCCGTTGTGGATAGATAACTCTTCATGTTGTTGTTTGTTTAGAGTTTTCCCATTTTCCCAGAAGTGGTTAGAGTCTATGGATTGATTTCTGACGTGCTGTTCCTTCTTTTTCCGTAGTGTATTTCTGTATTGTTTTAGTGATTCACCATAGTGAAGGCATAGGCTCAGGTTTTCTGGGTCTCTATGTTTTTGGTTGGATAGGTTTCTCAATTTCTTTCTTTGTCACGAACGTCAGGGTAAGGAGTAGACCAAGGCGCAGCGTTGCAGGCAAACATACTCATTTATTAATCAAAACGATATCAAAACAACAAAAGACGGAAACGTGACAGTACACGGTATAACACAACCAACTCGAAACAAGAACCCACAAAACACAAAGGAAAACCCGACAGATTAAATATGGCTCCCAATCAGAGACAACCAGCAACCAGCTGACACTCGTTGCCTCTGATTGGGAGTCACTCAGGCCAACATAGAAATAGGGAACATAGATCTACACACCCTGGCTCAACATAACAGTGTCCCCAGAGCCAGGGCGTGACAGTACCCCCCCCCTAAAGGCGCGGACTCCGACCGAGCCAACTAAATACCACAGGGGAGGGACCGGGTGGGCACTCCGCCTTGGCGGCGGATCCGGCTCTGGGCCCGATCCCCACTTCCTCTCCAACCCCCCAAAGTACTCCTGGTCCTGTCTAGCCCCGCTGGCCGGAGCCGGACTGACGACACGCACCCCTGGCTTGGTGCGTGGAACAGGAACGGACCGGACCGGGCTGACGATACACACCCCTGGCTTGGTGCGAGGAGTAGCAACTGGCCGGACCGGGCTGACGATACACACCCCTGGCTTGGTGCGTGGAGCAGGAATGGGCCGGACTGGGCTGGCGACGCGCACCACAGACTTGGTGCGGAGAGCAGGAACGGGTCCGACGTCGTGAGCCCCCCCCTAAAAAATTTCTGGGAGTCTCTCTTCCCCGTGGGCCAGGCCTCGATAATTCTCGCCCACCTCTCGCTCCTCTGCTTCCAATCTCCGTCATTCAGCTCCTCATTCGGCTTGACCCAGTCGAAGCTCTGCCTCCACTGTTGCCAAGTCCACCTACTCTGCTCCTCACTAGGCTGCTTGGTCCAGTTCTGGTGGGTTCTTCTGTCACGAACGTCAGGGTAAGGAGTAGACCAAGGCGCAGCGTTGCAGGCAAACATACTCATTTATTAATCGAAACGATATCAAAACAACAAAAGACGGAAACGTGACAGTACACGGTATAACACAACCAACTCGAAACAAGAACCCACAAAACACAAAGGAAAACCCGACAGATTAAATATGGCTCCCAATCAGAGACAACCAGCAACCAGCTGACACTCGTTGCCTCTGATTGGGAGTCACTCAGGCCAACATAGAAATAGGGAACATAGATCTACACACCCTGGCTCAACATAACAGTGTCCCCAGAGCCAGGGCGTGACATTCTTAGGTTTTTGCATTCTTCATCAAACCATTTGTCATTGTTTTTAATTTTCTTAGGTGGTCTGCTTGACATTTTTTGATTGTCATCGTTAAAGTATGGGGATTCTATTTGGGGGATATAGGTAGCACACATGAGGACATTTTTCTCAGTTGAGATAATTTCCTTATTAATTTCTAGCCAAATGTAAAAGGTTCCTGTTTTGACTAATTTAATAGAGTGGGTTAGGTTTGCTCTATACCAAATTAGCATACCCCCTGAGTCTCTTCTCTGTTTCAAAACCTGGTAGTTTGGTGGATGGGACTACCAGCTCTCTGTAACCTCGAGGGCAACCAGTCGGTCCGTCTCCTTAATATCATGTTTCTTGTAGGATGAAAATGTCTGTATTTCCAATTTCTTTGAAGTCTGGCTTCCTGCTCTTTAGGCCAAATGGAGACGACCTCAGACCTTGTATATTACAAGATGAGAGAGTAAAAGCTTTGTGTTCCATAGTGTCTAGTGTGGTTTAGGCCCGGACCATCAACGTAGGTGTGAGCAGATTATGTTGAGCATCTGATACATACCTCTTAGGTCGCAGGATGGTGCTTGGACGTGTGTAATAGTGGGGGTTGGGCCTGTTGCTCTGCTCGCGGCCTGGGCATATGTCCTGCTGTCATGTTGAGGTCCTTGCCGCAGGGGCGGGGGGCATGGGGTGGGCAGAAGGGGCATAGGTCTGATATGGGGGGGCCTATATAGGTTGTGGCCAGGGTTTGCTTGGGGTGGTCTTAGCTGGTTGGGGTGTGGCTGATGATGCTGTGGTCTGGGTGTAGGTCCCCTTGGTGTGGGTTCTCTCGGTGCAGGTCCTTCAGGAGGGGATCTTGCAGGTCTGGGCGGCGTGTCCTTTGCTCTGTTGCTCCTGTGTGAGGTGCTGGGGCTACGGTTGAGGGTGACGTCCTTCAGGGTCCTGGCAAAAGTTGGGATTGCTGCCTTGTAGAGGTGGACCTGGTCCTAAAGGCTGTTCATGTCCGGGGTGGAGTGGTGGGCCAGGTAGACATTAGGTTTTGAGGCACAGTCTCGCGAAATGCTTACATTCACCCGCTGGATTGTGGCAGGGTGAAAGTATTTTCGTGGTAGCAGGGTGGAGATAACCACTTGTGCATTGGGGAAAGTGGAAGAAGCTTTTTCAATCACTCCCTTGAGTGCTGTGGCCACCCTTTCCTGCTTCTCTCTCTCTCTCTAGGACTGAGCCTCTCTCTTTCTCTAGGACTGAGCCTCTCTCTCTCTCTCTCTCTCTCTCCGCTCTCTCCTCTTCTCTCTGCTCTTCTCTCTCCTCTCTGTCTCTCTCTGTCTCTCTCTGTCTCTCTCTGTCTCTCTCTGTCTCCTCCTCTTCTCTCTCTCTGGTCTCTCTCTGTTCTCCTCTGTCTCTCTCTCTCTCTCTCTCTCTCTCTCTCTCTCTCTCTCTCTCTCTCTCTCTCTCTCTCTCTCTAGGACTGAGCATACTCTCTCTCTCAATTCAATTTCAATTTAAGGGCTTTATTGGCATGGGAAACATATGTTAACATTGCCAAAGCAAGTGAAGTAGATAATAAACAAAAAATATTAACAGTAAACATTACACTCAGAAGTTCCAAAATAATAAAGACATTTCAAATGTCATATTATGTCTACAAACAGTGTTGTAATGATGTGCAAATAGTTAAAGTACAAAAGGGAAAATAAATAAACATAAATATAAGTTGTATCTCTCTCTCTCTCTCTCTCTCTCTTTCTATCTCTAGGACTGAGCCTAGACTCTCTCCAACATGCTTTAAGTGGCAACTGCAATAATGATGTAACCATTGCCTTATTCCATGATATATTCTGGAAGTGCATCTTAACACAATTTGGGAGAAAAAAAATCCCAACATGAAATTGCAATATTGCGTCTGAACTCCCGTGTTTTTGACTTAATAAATCATTTAAAAGATACAGAGGAAACAAACCGGCCAAGTTGCTTGTTTGCTCAACTTCCTCATTATGTTGTGTTGAGAGATTATAATGGTCGTCGTGATGGAGCCCCCGCCTCATGTCTGTCTGACTGAATCAGTCGTAGCCTCTGTCTTTTAATGATGAGCTGTCTGTCTGTCTGTCTGTCTGTCTGTCTGTCTGTCTGTCTGTCTGTCTGTCTGTCTGTCTGTCTGTCTGTCTGTCTGTCTGTCTGTCTGTCTGTCTGTCTGTCTGTCTGTCTGTCTGTCTGTCTGTCTGTCTGTCTGTCTGTCTGTCTGTCTGTCTGTCTGTCTGTCTGTCTGTCTGTCTGTCTGTCTGTCTGTCTGTCTGTCTGTCTGTCTGTCTGTCTGTCTGTCTGTCTGTCTGTCTGTCTGTCTGTCTGTCTGTCTGTCTGTCTGTCTGTCTGTCTGTCTGTCTGTCTGGGTTGGGTTGGCTGGGTAGAGATGGACAAGAGTAGAGTATTAAGGTTTAAGAAGAGGAGGTGTTTCGAGACTCTGGTCTGACAGCTTTATCCCAGAGTCACATATAGAAAAATGTCCACTCCTTCCTCTGAAATGTAGTTGTGGCAAGCTCCTTGCTAGAGGAGAAAATCATGAATAAGGCTCATTATATCTACATAGTAGAGCTGAAGCCTTACGAGCCCTGTGAATGTATATCAACAGATTACTGATGAAATATTGCTGTTTTGTTGGGTAAATATATTTTTTACAGAATAGTTTTAGGTTTGTTGTTGAAAGTCATTGACGGCTCAGTTGGTGGTGCATGGCGCTTGCAACGCCAGGGTTGTGGGTTCGATTCCCATTGGGGACAAGTAAGAAAAATGTATCCACTCAATGCTTACTGTAAATTGCTCTGGATAAGGGTGTCGTGTAAATATCTAGCTATGCTGCTGACTTTTTAGTTAGTATCACCCTCTCTCCCTCCTTTCTCCCTCCCACCCCCCCTCCCTACCCTCCCCCCTCCTGCGATCCCCCACCCGCGCGCGCAACCGCCCACGAAGACACCCGCGCGGGCGCGCACGCCCGCCCCCTGCGGGCGCGCTCGGGCGCCCAAGTCACCTCCTTTCTACACCACACCCCCTCCATTCACCCTTCTCTCTCTACACCCCTCTCTCTCTCTCTCTCTCTCTCTCCACCACCCTCTCTCTCCCTCCAACTAAATACTCCCTCCCCCTTTCTCTCCCCTCCCTCCCTCACCCCCCCCTCTCTCCCTCTCTCTCCCTCCCCCTCCCTACCTCTCTCTCTACCAGGTGTTGAAGGGGTTCCCAGAGTGTCTTCAGGCTGATATTTGCCTCCACCTCAACCGTACCCTCCTGGAGAACTGCAAGGCCTTCAAGGGCTCCACGAAGGGCTGTCTGCGAGCCCTGGCCATGAAGTTCAAGACCACCCACGCCCCGCCTGGCGACACCCTGGTGCACGCCGGCGACGTGCTCACCGCCATCTACTTCATCTCCCGTGGCTCCATTGAGATCCTCAGAGGCGACGTGGTGGTGGCCATCTTGGGTGAGGATGATAGAGGATCGGAGCTTCTATCAACCCAAATAGTATAGGTTCTACTACGGCTAGTGTCGCATGTATCCCTAAGGGGAAGGAATAGAAAACTGAATGTGGTATATTCAGAGAATCAGAGATGTGCCAGGGAACCAAATAAATAAAAATGAACCAACACTGCCATCTACTGGGAAACAATTGGTCCTACTTGTACCTCACAGAGCTTCGAGAACAGGGCACTCAAGAGGGGTGAAACGCTATCTCATTAAACAAGCGCTAGTACTGTGTACCATTTTGATTATTTAAAATCTGTAGGTTTGCCGTGTGACTTCTCAGTAATAACATATAGGACTGTTTAACGTTCACAGTTTTCAATGTATGTAAAATACAGTACAATACAGTCTCGTCTCCCGCAGGGAAGAATGACATCTTTGGCGAGCCTATCAACCTGTACGGGCGGGCTGGGAAGTCCAATGCCGACGTGAGAGCTCTGACCTACTGTGACCTCCATAAGATCCACAGAGAAGACGTCCTGGAGGTGTTAAACATGTACCCTGAGTTCTCCGACCACTTCTGGATGAACCTGGAGATCACCTTTGACCTCCGGGATGTGAGTGTTTCCTCTGCCCTTTGATTCTAAATTCAAGACCATAAAAATGCATATTCAAATATGAATTGATGAATATAAATGTGGGCTATTTACGCATTGATACTACATAAGTCCTTTAACGTCAGTGTGTGATTTTTCAAGATGTTTTCTTTTGTTAATCCCTGCAGACCAATATGATTCCTGGCTCTCCAGAAAGTAACAACTCAGACTGTGTAGGATTCAACAAACTGCGCAGACGCAAATTATCATTTCGCCGCCGGACAGAGAAGGGTAACCACAACATTCCCTTTCACTGCTTCGTCTCCGTTTATGAGAGCTAAACTCTCTCTGTGGTGCCCAGAAGAACACCCAATATCCCATGATGACCATACACACTTAGTTGTACATCACAAATCAAGTTTTCCAATTCCATCCAGTGTGTCATCATCTGTCTTTCCCTGTTTCTTCTGCTTTCAGACGACGCAGATGCAGGAGAGATAAAAAAGGAGAGATCCATCAAGACAGTTCGGCAGAGACGGAAGGAGGCGGCCAGTAAGCATGGGGAGGGGCTTGAGCCAGACTGGGAGGGGCCTCGGAGTTCAGTGTCCTCCCACTCCAGCGGTGACGAGGGGGAGGAGTCTGTGGTCACATGCCCCACCCCTCTGTCAGCTCTGCATGAGATGTCCCCGGGTCAGGCCACCACTCTGAACTTCAGGGACACTCCCGAGGGGGAGGGGGACCCCAAGGGGGGCAACACATGCAATGCACTCTCAGGTGGGTCTGGGCACACACACAGACACACAGACACACACACAGACACACAGACAGACACACAGACACACAGACACACACACAGCCTGGGCTCCCGAGTGGCGCAGCGGTCTAAGGCACTGCATCTCAGTGCTTGAGGTGTCACTACAGACCCCCTGGTTCGATTCCAGGCTGTATCACAACCGGCCGTGATTGGGAGTCCCATAGGGTGGTGCACAATTGGCCCAGCGTCGTCCGGGTTTGGCCGGTGTACGCCGTCATTGTAAAGAATCATTTGTTCTTAACTGACTTGCCTAGTTAAATAAAGGTTAAATAGAAAAAATGTAAACACACAGACAATATAAAACAATAGAATATGACTTCATACCCTATTCTTCACCTCTCTCCCCTCTCTTCTTCACAAACAGGAGCATTTTCGGGGGTCTCAAACATCTTCAGTTTCTGGGGGGAGAGTCGGGGCAGTCGTGAGTACCAGGAGCTGCCACGCTGCAGCCTGCCTTCCCCTCCCCCCCTCAACACACACATCAACAGCATCAGCCGCAGGCAGCGCACCGAGCTGGAAAACAGACTTGACCTGTTGCAGCAACAACTCAACAGGTACAGAGACATGCAGGTACAGAGACATGCAGGGACAGAGACATGCAGGGACAGAGACATGCAGGGACAGAGACATGCAGGGACAGAGACATGCAGAGACAGACTGAGACATGCAGAGACAGACTGAGACATGCAGAGACATGCAGGGACAGACTGAGACATGCAGAGACATGCAGGGACAGACTGAGACATGCAGAGACAGACTGAGACATGCAGAGACAGGCAGGGACAGACTGAGACATGCAGAGACATGCAGGGACAGACTGAGACATGCAGAGACAGACTGAGACATGCAGAGACATGCAGGGACAGACTGAGACATGCAGAGACATGCAGGGACAGACTGAGACATGCAGAGACAGACTGAGACATGCAGAGACATGCAGGGACAGACTGAGACATGCAGAGACAGACTGAGACATGCAGAGACATGCAGGGACAGACTGAGACATGCAGAGACAGACTGAGACATGCAGAGACATGCAGGGACAGACTGAGACATGCAGAGACATGCAGGGACAGACTGAGACATGCAGAGACAGACTGAGACATGCAGGGACAGAGACATGCAGGGACAGATGAGACATGCAGGGACAGACTGAGACATGCAGAGACAGGCAGGGACAGACTGAGACATGCAGAGACATGCAGGGACAGACTGAGACATGCAGAGACAGACTGAGACATGCAGGGACAGACTGAGACATGCAGGGACAGAGACATGCAGAGACAGACTGAGACATGCAGAGACAGACTGAGACATGCAGGGACAGAGACATGCAGGGACAGACTGAGACATGCAGGGACAGACTGAGACATGCAGGGACAGAGACATGCAGAGGACAGACTGAGACATGCAGGAACAGACTGAGACATGCAGGACATGCAGGACAGACTGAGACATGCAGAGACATGCAGGGACAGACTGAGACATGCAGAGCAGACTGAGACATGCAGGGACAGAGACATGCAGGGACAGACTGAGACATGCAAAGGGGGCAGACTGAGACATGCAGGGACAGACTGAGACATGCAGAGACAGACTGAGACATTTAGGGACAGAGACATGCAGGGACAGACTGAGACATGCAGGGACAGACTGAGACATGCAGGGACAGACTGAGGCATGCAGGGACAGACTGAGACATGCAGGGACAGACTGAGACATGCAGGGACAGACTGAGACATTTAGGGACAGAGACATGCAGGGACAGACTGAGGCATGCAGGGACAGACTGAGACATGCAGGGACAGAGACATGCAGGGACAGACTGAGACATGCAGGGACAGACTGAGACATGCAGGGACAGACTGAGACATGCAGGGACAGAGACATGCAGGGACAGACTGAGACATGCAGGGACAGACTGAGACATGCAGGGACAGACTGAGACATGCAGAGACAGACTGAGACATGCAGGGACAGACTGCGACATGCAGGGACAGAGACATGCAGGGACAGACTGAGACATGCAGGGACAGACTGAGAAAATGCAGGGGGCAGACTGAGACATGCAGAGACAGACTGAGACATGCAGGGACAGACTGAGACATGCAGGGACAGAGACATGCAGGGACAGACTGAGACATGCAGGGACAGACTGAGGCAGACTGAGACATGCAGGGACAGACTGAGACATGCAGGGACAGACTGAGACATGCAGGGACAGAGGCATGAGGTGACAGAGACAGGCAGAGACTGAGACATGCAGAGACATGCAGGGACAGAGACTGTCATGGAGAATTGTCCTTATTCTTGATAAAAAACAAAGTATTTCCAGAGTTTTTGTAGAATTAAGATAGACTTTATTATAATTAGATAAAGCCGAGGTGGTCTGCAGAGCATCTGAATTCCCAACACTTGGCCCTCAGTTTATATTCAGTTCTATTCCTGCACATTTTACATACTTTTAGCCTAATCCCTCCCTGTTTAGTTCTTCCTCCATTGTCTCCAAATGTTCATCCTTTGACCGCTCCTCCCACTGATAGTGGTGAAATCTGACTTCTCCTCCTCCTCCTATGTATTCAGACTTGGAAACAATAGTGGCAGGACCAAGCTTTCTCATGGAAAAAATAACAGAGCCATGTCTTATGGTCCTCTGTAGCTCAGCTGGTAGAGCACGGCGCTTGTAACGCCAGGGTAGGGGGTTCGATCCCCGGGACCACCCATATGTAAAAATGTATGCACACATGACTGTAAGTCGCTTTGGATAAAAGCGTCTGCTAGATGGCTTATTATTATTATTATTATTATTATTATTATTATTATTATTATTATCAGTCAGGAGAAACCTTGAGATTAGGAAGTGCACACTCCTGCAGCCTGTCGCAGTTCACCTGTTTCAGAGATAGGCCCCCTCTGCACACGAAGTCTCCAGACACAGATACATTTGCACATAAAACATCCCATCTAACCCATAACACATTATAAAACATATCAATCAATACTTAAATATGGTTTAAACATGGCAGGTCCATAACCCATTCTCAACCATATACATTTAAGACATTCCTCGTGCATGGCTTCATGCATAGCAGTATAATCAGTTCTCAGACATGTACAGTTCTCAAGCATAGTGTATATTTCCCACACATAGTAAGAATGAGCAGGCCCATTCCCAGGAGCCATGACCTGACTCTGTCTCAGGCTCCCTCCTTGTGTACCACTCTGTACCACACTCTGTATTCACTTAGTCGTACTGCTTAGTCTTTGTGATTAACTAAAGTTTTAAAAGATTTAACTATGTTCAACCTATAGTTTTAACGTATCGTTTACTTGGGAGTCTACTGAAAAATTGGCTTCTTTCCTGTCTATCCCCATGTCTGCTTGGACTCCTTTTCATATCATACCGGAACCCCCTCTTTATCCAAACAGCCACCCTCCGTGGACATTGAGCCACTATGGTTTCTTCCTGTGACTATGTGCATGTGGCTATATGTATCGGGTCAGGCTATGTGTCGGGTCATAGCGCACAAACAAGTGATAACGTTAGTTCCGTTGCTACTCCCGTCTCCACACAGCTGCACCGTTGGATGATAGTAAAAGACAGGATGAACTGAAAAACTGTGTTCACTCTTAGGCTCTTTGTCCTGACCGTGTGACCAGGTTACTCAGAAGCAACGAGAAACAATACAGGTCTATACAGGTATCTGTTCCTGAAGTTTATCTCCATCCCATATCCTTGACTACAGACGAGCTGCAGGGAGCTAGAGGAAACCATAATTTTCTCAGAAGCACAGCATTTTACTAAAGAAATGTCTCTACCATTGTAATATTGCATATTATAATATATGTAATGGAAAAATACCTATAGAGCCATTTCATCATGGCTCTGTTTTAACCCTTTAATAATAATAATAATATGCCATTTAGCAGACGCTTTTATCCAAAGCGACTTACAGTCATGCGTGCATACATTTTTTTTTTTTTTTTGTGTATGGGTGGTCCCGGGGTTCGAACCCACTACCTTGGCGTTACAAGCGCCGTGCTCTACCAGCTGAGCTACAGAGGACCACTTTAATTGGTTCTTAATCCATAGGCATATAGGGCATATAGGCGTTTCATTCTACAACATAAATAATTAATATATTTGGTTTGTTATGTTATCTAAGTAGTTAACTAAAAATCTCCCATAAGACCTGCAGAGACAGAGACCTGCAGAGACAGAGACCTGCAGGGACAGAGACCTGCAGGGACAGAGACATGCAGGGACAGAGGCCTGCAGGACAGAGACATGCAGAGACAGACTGAGACATGCAGAGACAGAGACATGCAGGGACAGAGACGGGGACAGAAAAATGCAGGGAGAGAGACATGCAGGGACAGGGACAGGGTACAGGGGCAGGGGCAGAGAAATGCAGGGACAGAGACATGCAGGGACAGAGGGACAGAGGGACAGGGCACATGGACGGGGCACAGGGGCAGGGACAGGGACAGAGGCTGGGACAGAGACAGAGGCAGGGACAGGGCACAGGGACAGGGCACAGGGACAGAGATAGGGACAGAGCACAGGGACAGAGCAGGGCACAGGGACAGAGGCAGGGACAGGGCACAGGGACTGTGACAGGGACAGAGGCAGGGACTGGGACAGAGACAGAGGCAGGGACAGAGGCAGGGACAGGGCACAGGGACAGGGGACAGAGATAGGGACAGAGGCAGGGACAGGGCACAGGGACAGGGACAGGGCACAGGGACTGAGACAGGGACAGAGGCAGGGCACAGGGACTGTGACAGGGACAGAGGCAGGGACTGGGACAGAGACAGAGGCAGGGACAGAGGCAGGGACAGGGCACAGGGACAGGGCACAGGGACAGAGATAGGGACAGAGGCAGGGACAGGGCAGGGCACAGGGACAGAGGCAGGGACAGGGCACAGGGACTGTGACAGGGACAGGGCACAGGGACTGTGACAGGGACAGAGGCAGGGACTGGGACAGAGACAGAGGCAGGGACAGAGGCAGGGACAGGGCACAGGGACAGGGCACAGGGACAGAGATAGGGACAGAGGCAGGGACAGGGCACAGGGACAGGGACAGGGACAGGGCACAGGGACTGAGACAGGGACAGGGCACAGGGACTGGTACAGGGACAGGGCACAGGGACTGAGACAGAGACAGGGACAGGGCACAGGGACAGAGACAGGGCACAGGGACAAGGGACAGAGACAGGGAAAGGGCACAGTGACAGAGACAGCGAAAGGGCACAGGGACAGGGCACAGGGACATAGATAGGGAAAGGCACAGGGACAGAGGCAGGGAAAGGGCACAGGGACAGGGCACAGGGACAGAGACAGGGAAAGGGCACAGAGACAGGGAAAGGGCACAGGGACTGAGACAGGGACAGGGACAGGGCACAGGGACTGAGACAGGGACAGGGAAAGGGCACAGAGACAGGGAAAGGGCACAGGGACAGAGACAGGGACAGGGCACTGGGAAAGGGCACAGGGACAGGGCACTGGGAAAGGGCACAGGGACAGGCACAGGGACAGAGACAGGGAAAGGGCACAGGGACAGAGACAGGGAAAGGGCACAGAGACAGGGACAGGGGACAGGGCACAGGGAAAGGGCACAGGGACAGGCACAGGGAAAGGGCACAGGGACAGGCACAGGGAAAGGGCACAGGGACAGGGGACAGAGACAGGGACAGGGACAGAGACAGGGACAGGGGACAGAGACAGGGACAGGGACAGGGGACAGGGCACAGGGAAAGGGCACAGGGACAGGGACAGG